AGAAGAAATACGATTATTCGAGCCTTGCGTTTTAAAAGGTGTACGAACGCTTATGCGGGCCACCGTATTTTTGGAAAAGTGACGCACCGATGTTCCAAACGTGTAAAACTGTTTTAATGTTCGATCGAAGATAATGGTACGGCAAAAGGTTAACATTTACGATAAACATGATTGTCTAAAATTTGGTGGTAAAACATTTATAATTCAGACATCGGATAGACCGGATCTCAATAATGAGATCAATAATAATGTGACATTATCTTTTTAACATTCGCGCATCGGTGATCATATTTTGATTTTCCATATTAGATATTTCATGTTAAAATGAATGTAATTTTTAACGGAAATCTGAGTGCGACTTTAAATTTTGCGATGTGAAAGTGACCGCCGATAGGTAAACAAAAATAATGAGATGATTAAAAATCTATTAGATCATCAGCTTCATTAACAAGTAAATCAAAAGGAGATCATTGGTGCTCCATGTGTTCAATTCTTCGTCTGTTTTCACTGTTCCAAGTTGCCTCTCGTTTTTACCATAAATGCATAAAAACCGCAGCCTAGCACTTTACACGAAGTCTGATCGAAATCTCCGACTTAGTAATTAGTTCCTTTCTATTTGGTAATGAACATAACGTGCGAGATTAAGCAGAATTTCGACTGTAAATCCATGTGGAAACGTGGAACTGCATGAACTTCCGCAGTCTCGTTTGCTAGGTTCACTTTAAATTAGCGGATTCCATCTGGAGCGTCGCAGGCCGCGTCGAATCGATGATCTTTGGTAGCTAAGCAAGGTGGCCAAGCGAGCAGATAAGCAGAAGAGAAACGCCACGAGGCCGTAACGGAAACGATAATGCAAGCAGCTCGCATCCTGCGGCCATCGCGCAATCATCTAGGAAGTCATTGGCTATGCGTCGTGCGCCAACAGCCCGAATCGTGTGTGTCCGAGGAAAATAAACTAACGTGTCGTGTTCGCAAAATTTCACTTTGTTCCTTTACGTAACGCCGACAATTCTTTTGGTTTGTGCTCGCCGTCTTCTTTGTTCGACTGTCGTCCGGCTGCAGTTATCGTCGATCGAAAGAATGACTACTCTTTACGAGTCACATTTCTATTCCAGACACTTGTTCACTGGAAAGAACACCACTTCAGAAAAGTTGGAAAAAGTTTCTAGAAAACTCGAAAATTTTTACATCTATTTAAGACCCTGGTTAATTTGTATCCAAACATCGAAAACCTTCTTCGGTATTCTTCATCATCTTCTACGAATGTTAACGTCTTGTCACGTAAACTGTATACCCGTCTTATTAATATTTTCTTGGATTGTCGTTAACTTTTCCATCGTATTTGATTAAAACGTGCACAAGATTATTTATTGCACAAATGTACAAGGGTACATTTTAAAACATTTCGTTTAGTGGCATTATTTTATATATGTAGTTATTCGAATATATAAATGTAACAAATATACTTTCCTACTGTTTAAGGAGAACATTTTTAATGATTTCTTAGCATCCATGACGAGATCCCATTCAAATAACTTATTATTTTATTTTCATGTATTTTCGAACATTCTTTTCCTGAATCTAAATTGATTATGTAAATCTGACGTAAATGGCCAATAACTTGGTTCAACCGTTAAAAGATGACACAACTGCAACGAAGTGTTTGCAACATTGGATCAAAATGATCACAAGTCCCGTTGAAATTGGTTCGCAATTGAAATATTCTTCGCTGTCAATAACTTGTCTTCGTGCACCCCGTCGACAGTATGGACGCAAATTCTAAGAAATCGCCGACTCTTTTGAGACGTGTACCAGCAACTTAATGTAGCGATAGCTTTAACAAGTGATAGCACTTGAAGCTAACTGTAAGTCCGTAAGTCTTCCTGGAAGAATTTCCCAGACCCTGCTGATTATTATTTCTTTCGCGGCTTGCCTAACACGCGACCGAGCGTTGTCATGCACTAATGTGACTTCGTGGCTTCCTTGATTAATAAATGATATCATATTTTTGAGCTCGCCGCTCGGCATTAATTACGGAACTCCAGATGCGGTCATTATGACTGTTTTTATACTTTCCACCTCGAATCTTGGAAATTCTGGACTTAGGACATTGACTTAGGTCAATGACTTTTGAAATAATATCATTGTTCCTGAATAGACAATATAACTCAATCTCTTTAAATAATTTCTACTTTATATTAATTTCTTACCTACATAAATTGTATTTTACAGGAACAAGATACATAACTTCAAGTAGTATTCGATAACGTACGTTTATAAGTAAAAGACAAATGAAAATCCATTTTTGATGAATAAAGTAAGCTTACATCATAAACTAGTTCCGTCAAAACCGATCTTTGATTTACTCTTGAAATGATAACCTGTTAACACTAAACGTACTATGACACTCAAAAAAACAGGTTTTTACATTTTTAATTTTTAAATTGTGGAAATTACATAGAGACTCTTTCTTATATATAATACATACATTATAATAACGAGAAGGTCTAAGCAATTCAGGCTTCTCATTCTTACACAGCAACACACGCCAGTCACTTTTCACTAATTTCGACGAAACATATACACACATAGATATACAGGGTGTCCCAAAATTATTGTACAAGCAGGAAATGAGGGATTCCTGAGGTCATTTAAAGTAACTTTTTCCTTAGCGCAGATGCAATCCGCGGCTTCGTTTGCGAGTTATTAATGGAAAACAGTGACCAATGAGAGGCAAGATCAGCTGCCACGAGGTGGCTTCGGCCATATTTCCTGATTGCGAGTGACACCCCGTACGATACATTGTACACATAATGTCGCTCTACGACTGATTATGAAATTGAAAAATCATATCTAGATCCTCGATATTGAAATGACTATTGAAGAGAACACTATTGTGACCGACAATGGATTTACGTTCTCATTTTGAAGAATCCTTAATCACCGATGGCTGTCGTGTAAGATGAATTTAGTAGTCGTAAAAGAAGAGTTCTTTTGTTCGAGAAACGGCGATCGTCTTTTCTAATCGCGTGAAACGTGCCGTCAGAACAAAGGGTGGTAAAAGAAAAGGAAACAACTGGAGAGTTGAACGCGTGGCGGAGGTCACAAGGCTTGGCCGATCATTGAAATCATCGGCTTGAGGAGCTGGTGACGCTCGGTGAGGCAACGTCCCGCTTCGCAACGGTTCTAACGAATGCGTTTCGCGCGTGATGATGTGAGTTGCGTGTCACTCATGCACCGTGACGCACGCGCGTGCACCGATTGCCGGCCGGACAATAGAATGTGGCATTGTTCGTGTAAATTAGCCGCGAAGAAATTGAACCGCTGTTCACGCGAGATGGAAGATAATTGAACCGTAATTGAATCAAGTATAACTTTCATAATCCACGAGATATGAACTGTATTCATTAGCAAACCGTAGTTGCTTAGACAAATTCATAGCGTATTTTACTATGCTAACATTACAGTCGAATTAAATAAAACTTATATCGGACGTTAATATTCCGCGGCTCGCATTCCAGATATTTTGACTTTCTCCAGGCAGTTCCCTGTTCTATGGCTTCTTTCTCAACGTTTCCCTCGGGCTCAAAGTGGTATTCTAGATTCTTTGCAAAAAAAAAGTATTATATCCTTTGCAGTCAAATTGACAAGATTTATTTATACATATTTTAACGACGCTTTACAATTTTATTGGAATAAGAAAAATTAAAATTAGTGGCACTGCCATACTCTCGAACATAGCTGCTTTTATAAAAGTTCGTCTCACGGTGACCATAATTCCGGCCATTCTGCTTGTCCGAAATAAAAAAAACATAAAAGTTCCTTAATTAGTATGAATTTGGCTATAACAGGTACTTGAACAAAAGAAAAATATCTGTAATTAAAAAAATAGCGATACTTTGAAATTCGATTATCGATTTTTGTGTTTTGTTAGGGTTCGGAGGCCTAAAAAAGATTTTGGGTCAATTGGTCAAGTAGGTTTTGAGACGTCATGGACACCGTACTAAAAAACATAGTTTACAGAAAAATGCCTTTAAAGTTTAATAATATATCGATAATGATGTAAGGTCGTTGCAACCTTTAAACAACCATAACTTCGTTAACTTTAGGTGTTCGCACGTAAGGTTCCAGAGATGTATTTTTGAAACTATATCCTTTAAGAATGTGCAAAAAAATTAATTTTTTCAAAAATTTACGCTAGGATACCCCGTTAAGTTAATCTTTGTGCAACGTATGCGATAATCACGCTCCCGTTCGTTCAATATTTTCGTATTGCGTGTTTGGCTTTTGTCGTTTCTTTTTTGTTATAAACTCGTGCAAATTCCTGGCTGTCAATAGAGTCCAGTGAAATCAAAAAATTTGAATAACATTCGAAATTAAATTTAATAGGAAATTCTCATCTAGAATCGATTTTATGAATTTTTATAAGTGGGATAAATGTTTACAGGTTTCTCGCACAATTTTTATGCATTATTGTTAAATACTAATCGTTAATTCTCAGTCTCATGCTATCTGCGAAACGACATCGTTGGAACGTTTTCTCACACAATGATTACGATTTCACAAAATTTATCATTTACTATATGAACGTTTGAATGTTATATTGAGTGAATGAAATGTTGTTCGAATCTAACTGTAAGGGATCTAAGTGTGTCATACGAATAGTTACTAAATCATAATACAAAAGACAATGAAACAGGAAAATCAATTTCATTTCACGAGACTTCGTATAAAAACGAAGCCGAACGATGAAGATGAAGATAGAGATTGTTGAAATTTATTGACAAATGGTTCTCAATACCTTTTAAAAGACAGACATACGTATTCTTATATTTGCGTTAAACGTGTTAATTTGCGTTAAACATTAATGAAAATGTTTTCTACGTGAGATAAATGCTTGATCTATTTAACCGAAAATCTTTGGTGTCAGTTAGCGATTGAACGAAAGTAAAACAAATTGAGTTTGTTTCACTGACGTCCACGTGTTGATTTGATTACAGGCTGCAACGGTGCCGGATGCGGTTACCCTGGCGCACCTGCACACAGCAGCGTCCGCTTCACGGGAACAGGTGCTCAAGACGTCGTAGACGAAGGGGACGCCCTTCTTAAGGACACCATGTTCCTCGAGGGCACCGTGGCCACGTACTCTTGCGAGCGTGGCTTTGAACTGCTTGGTCCTGCACGAAGACAGTGTCAGGCCGATGGCTCCTGGTTACCCGAAGGGGTACCATTTTGCGGTGAGTTACTTTTCACTACCAAAACCTGACCCTTTGCACCCGAAGAATTTTCTCGATTCGCCAAAAACTCGAACGTATTTATTCGCGAGATAGTAAGTATTTCATTTCATCACATTAAAATTGTAAAGTTGAGTTGTATGGCATCGACTACTTTCTCCACATTCTTACGCGCGTTTTGCGGATTCTAATAAAATTAGAAAGATATAACGGTTTAGCGTAAAAATAAATTTTCAAATCAGAGCAAATAATTCTGTCACCCACACATGTTTGACGCTGCAGTCAAAGTGTTCAAAAATATATAAAATGATAGAACGTTGGAAATAATATTCGCCAATTTAAATAATATTTCATACAAGATCCAGAGTTCATGAAACGAGCATCAACATCAAGAAAACAGAGTAAACTTCCTAAATTACTACACCAATTATTCAGTGATAACAAAAATGTCGAAAATCTCCTGAATATCCTTAGAAAACATGAACATCCTTCTAACTAACATTTGCCAAAAGAAGATGTCGCTAATGACCTTGGCGTCGATGCGACTTTAATTTTTTAGATTATTAACTTTGAAAGTAGCATAATTATCAGCAGTTTTGTTATGACCCCTGAAACGGGACATTCGAGTGCGAAGGGTTAACTGTCGATGCGTAAAGGAGGTCTAAAAAATGTTTTTCATATGAACTGTACGTTCTAAAGACGGGAAATGAGGCTGCAGACAAAGATGGGTGCCTTTCATATCTGGGGTTACCTTATATCTGCGGTCTACTTATAAGTTATGTAGAGATGAATCGAATATCGTGGAATTTGAATAAAAGTATGAAAGCAGCGAATGACGTCGAAAAGTTTGCATCCGTTTACAAAAACAAAACAAGAAATTCACAGTGGAATCATCAAGGCAAATACGCTCGCGGATGTGGGTTTAAGAGAAAGTTCAAGCGTTCCGAGGAAACGTGCTCGCGCTTCCGGTCACGCCTCTACGAAACACTTTGAGAATACACGTATCGTAACTCCGAGCAATAATCAGCGTTGATTCATCGTATATAGTTACGGAGATTTAAGAGAGTACATCTTTTTGGGGCAAAGTTTTGAAAGTCGACGCCAGCCAGAAAGATTTTATCGAAAGTTTCGCTCGAGTACAATTAACCATAGAATATTACCTATATATATATATAGGTAATATTCTATGGTTAATTGTACTCGAGCGAAACTTTCGATAAAATCTTTCTGGCTGGCGTCGACTTTCAAAACTTTGCCCCAAAAAGATGTACTCTCTTAAATCNAATACACGTATCGTAACTCCGAGCAATAATCAGCGTTGATTCATCGTATATAGTTACGGAGATTTAAGAGAGTACATCTTTTTGGGGCAAAGTTTTGAAAGTCGACGCCAGCCAGAAAGATTTTATCGAAAGTTTCGCTCGAGTACAATTAACCATAGAATATTACCTATATATATATATAGGTAATATTCTATGGTTAATTGTATATATATATATATATTATCTTTCTTGCTGTGCATTCTGTTAGATTTTCCAATTTTCAGACATTCGTTATGGTCAATGAGAGAAGTAATCATGTATACGTGAATTTCTGATATACAAGAAAACATGAAAGCGAACGAAAACATATAATATACCTGTTTTACTTTTACCACGAACAATCTTCTAGTCAATGAAAGCATTATCTTATTGTGATAATCGTCATAATAATTACAGACTTTTATGGGAACATAGATTTGCAAGACAATTGTAAATCGACTCGTAATTCGAAGAAAATGAAAATTGATTGCTAGCTAGACTTTCTTTCAAATGAACCTGAGAAATTCTTCAGGACATGCTTCATGGTTGACCAAGTAGAACAAGTGAACTCGTCCGTAGATTTTAGAAAAATGCTGAAGGTCGGTCGCAAATTTGAAGTATTTTTCTACAAAAATGGGTTCGATCGAATAATGCTGCTGAAGATCATCTGCACAGGTGATTATTGTATGTGGATAATGGTGGACCGAAGCCCATGCATAGCCCGATTGAATACTCAACAATTTTCGGTGGCAAGTGACCTGATTCCGAGTGTCCTTGACCGAAGAGAAGACAGTATATAAGAGCGGAGAAAATAGAGGGGGCAGAACACCGTTAACTCTGAACCTGCTGCTACCTCCTAAGAGAGCCTCCGGCCTTTCAACGTCACTCGCATTCCTGGCATTGGCTCACTGTTTCGTTCTCCTCGGTCCAGGTCAGACTTCTTATAAAAAAGAAAGATTCGGAAGCCTTCGCCGGAATTGAACATTATATAAATAAATTTCATGCGACTAACATTTTTAATTTTATTCTATACTTGATTCGAGACTTTCAGATATTTCTGACTCGACTGTAATTCCCATTTTTACAATTAATCCTTTAACCCACATTGTTTCATTTGTAGAATTTATAACAAGTTTGATCACGATCAACAAGATCACGATCTTCACGTACTTTATAATATGAATATAATGTAAAGAAGTAATATATATATATATATATAATCTTAATAACATTCATATGATATCAATATAATACAGAGAGAGAGAGAGAGAGAGAGGGAGAGGGAGAGAGAGAGAGAGAGAGAGAGAGAGCTACAAAGATAATATAAAAAGTAGATATTTCTTTTACTACACTTTCTCACTTTGGTCAGTACTGAAAGTGTTAATTTCATGAAAACTAAGATAAAGAAATGTCTTAAAAAATAAAATTGAAATATCATTGTAGTTTTGAATAATGCATCCTTGTCCTTATATCTTAGAATGTTAGGAACAATTTATGAAAATGTTCATTTAAAAAGGAAAATCGAAAAGCATCGATTATGAAAAACAAAAAAGTCATCTTTTCTTCAATGCAAAATGAAATCTGATCGATAGAACGTCATAATGAAGTCAAGTGAATAATTTTTTTAAAAAAAACGTACCGCTTTCGAAGGTGTAAAAACAATCTAATGAGAATATATAACTTTAGCGAACACGATAAATAATTTAGAATCCAGCGCATCAATGTGAAATGTTTTAAACTTGAAACTCTTTTCTGTTTCAAATAAATGTAAATATTTCTTCAGCAGATGCAAATGACGTTTTCTTTCGAAGCGGCGAGACAATTCTCCGCAGCGGTACTTCTTCGACAAGAACGGACAATGCTTCTTCAGAAATCAATTCTTGTAGGTTAGAAAAAAAATGACTGTCCACGATTACTCTGCCGTGTTTCCGTGTCGTCGTTGCAAGTAAACAACCGGACAGCTTTGCAGTTTCTCGCAATTTTGCTACTTGCGCACCTATGCGTGAATTTGACTCCTCGAAGGTAAACTTGTTAGACCCTCACGGCTGGGCAGAGGCGTAATCGCGCTTGTACCGTCATTTTAGTGCCAAATAACGAACTGTTTCAAGTCACTCTACGCTAATTCGTACAGTCTCTTTGGAATGCCATTTAACCGCGGCGAAACGTGCAACTTCTCCGTTCCAGATCGCGAGATAATTTTTATTTTTATATTTACGACGCTCTCATACGAGCAAAAGTCACAACTAGGCTGTGAATTTTATCCGTTCGTAGCGTGCGTAAGTATGTAAAATATAACTTAGATGGAGCATGAATCTTCATTTTGAACTTTCTTACCTGTACGAATACCGTACACACAATAAAAATGGTCGATGCGTAACATCTAATTTACAGATACCATAATGTAAATTAGTATTAATTATTTGATTGATTAATTTTGTAATTGCCGTGCACAGCGAATCTTTATGCATTTGTAATATTAGAAAATTTCCAATAACTTTTAAAGTATAGATTCCAGTAAGATGCAATACAATCCTAATATATTTTGCTTCGCTGACACCAATATCGAAGAAAACTGAAACTAGATTCAGCAAATCAGCAAAAACAACATTTCGCAATCTGTTAATTATTCTCTCCACTGATTTGTCATTGATGCAGTCATTTACAATTGATTTCACTCTTAGAAATCTAACGGTGCAAATAATGGATTCGGTTGAGAAGTTGTGAAAAAAATAGAAAATACATAATTAACAATGATTCACACTTTAGCGTAATAATGTTGCAATTCAGTTCATAAGTTATTGGATCTTTAGACGGATAAATACGGAATAGAAAACGGATTGGTCCCAAAAATTTCAAAACAAACGAAATCCGCACAAGCATACGTTAAGTACTTAACACTATATCAAAGGAAAGTTTAAAGATCTTGGTTTATATAATAACCCCAATAAAAATTGTTAAATTACATTACTGAAACAGACTCGTTGTTTCTCGAGTAAAATTGCTGCTATAACTACTGAAAATATTATTAAGAAATCCAGCTGCAGTTCATAAGTTTCTAAAAACTAATTAATAATCGCAGACAGCTAACTACCAATTTGATTAATGCTTTTGTTACATCTTTTGAAAATATTTACTCGCAACAATCTCCTTATGAATCATTTATAGTACTATCCGATTAAATTCTCACTCGATGTTTTCTTAATTTATTTCACCTCCCGCGGCTATGCATAGTTCTTGATCAACTTATGCTAGATCTATTGTGGAGAGTTCAACGACCGTATGCAACAATCAAAACGTGACGAAGCTGCGTAAATCAGGTAGCGCAATTTCTAGTTTGCAAGTACAATCAAGTTTTCGCATTGCAATCTGCAATTTTCCCGACGACTTTCACTTATTCCCCCGGAATTTTTCCGTTCGCAAACGTCCTAATGATCGTGGTCAGACCGTCTCGCGGAACCGAATAAAAATTATTTAAACGCAGTCATCTTCGTAGCCACGTTGTTCGATTTCTTTCACTTAGTTTGATAGAAAAGTAGCATTAGCTTTTGTCCGCAAGCTGTAGGAAACAGCATTTAGTACTTTCTATTGCGGTAGCACTTCTTTCAAGTGACGCAGGGTACCTAGTTAACACTAACTTTTCTTATTACGGAGAACTATCATCTAACAACTAATTTACTTTTCAAAAGTTCGTCTAGCTCGTAAAAGTAGGTTAAATGAGAAAAAAATCAGAAACAGAGGAAGAAGAAAACATAACCTCCGTGTAAATTTCTGTCTAAGGATATTTCGAATGAAATATCTTTTAGAAACATGTAAGAAAAGAAAGTAGAGAAATCAGTTTTTCTCTGAAGAAAATTATCGTGCATTCTTAATACAGTAACCAAACAGGAAAACAGGCTTTTCATACAAATTATTTCAAAATCTCTTTCAAAAAACTTCCTTTGTACGATATTTTTCAAAACACTTTATAGAAATGTTTACACACATGAGTAGAGTGATTAATTTGTAATTAATCCTTATACATATATAAAAGATCGTTATTCTAATCAATTGAAACTGCACGAAGAAAATTGAATAATCGGCGTGTGTTAGTCGACTGATGGGTTCATTGACTTTGAAGATTAGTCAAATAATTTGTATTTGTATTTGTATTTGTACGTAATGCGCATATGAATTTTTTAGGCGTTTAGATTCACTGTAAAAGGTATTCAAGCATAACGAGGGATACCTTCGTTTTAATAATACTGTGTCCATGACTCATTTATTATTCTATAGCTTTGCTCGGGGAATATGCATGCCTGCTAACTCGTTGTACGGAACGCATAATGATAATCGAACTATAGTATTATAACCTTTCCATTATGGTTTAAGTGTTTGGACACCCGTTTAGATGCAAATTAGATACATTTGTATTCCGATCGTTTCCCAAGATATATTTTTAGTAAGTCACGTTAACTGTATAGATAAAATAGGCAAAAATAGTTATGGGAGACAGTAATCTTCGCCGAGTTTCACGCAAGAACATATTTCAATAGAAAATATCAGTCACGAATATTCAAATATTTTCGTAACAAACAGCTTTACACGTTCACACCAAAGTCGTCGGATTGTCTTCCTGTTTTGTTTCATTATATGTTGGATCTTGTCGAAAAAGATAGGAACTTCAGCATAATTCCTGAAATGACCAATTAAAGCAAACAACTTAATTTTTCAGATTATAATCTTAATATAAATAAAAAATTTCTTTTGTACTTTGATTGGGTATTATTTCAGTTGAATGTAAATTTAGTGCACGACTTGACAATTTTTAGTTTAAAAAGAAAATGATAGAACACAAACGGAAACGCCACAAGCAGCAGTAATAATATTAACTAAATGTGATACCACATCATTAACACACAATATTAGAAGAATTTTTCTTTCCTATAATACATAGACGTTGGTCCAAATTAGGCTAGATTCTTATTGTGTTTCTTTCTTGATGAAATATATTCGTTAAAAGTATTAAAAACAGTCTGAAATGACCTACTAAAATTCTGAAGAGGAACAAGTGTTACTAAAATTAGAATCGAGTATTAAATGCTTCGTTCGATCTAGCACCAGAAAATGATTTCGTTTCTCGAGAGATGAAATCTTTGCTGATGGCCCGCGCGAAGAGTAACTGTAAATAAAGACGTGGCCGCGTGTATGTGTATGGGCTTGTGGGAACGCGTGTGGTATATAGTAACTCCACGACTCGGTATGTAGGTTTAGGTCGAGAACGCATCGATTATCTATGTTCCTCCAACTACACCTGGATGGAATGCCGATCAACTTCTCTTAGATCTTGGATCTTGAGCAAACCCGCGATAGCCAACCGGTTCTCTATGATTCACGGCCCGTTTTCGACATCTGTAATACACATCATACTACTCATATTCAAAACACCGTGGAACTATTTCCATAAAAACTCACCTATTCCTTTATCGAACCTAAATTAACACAATCGTAGAAAGAACATATAAATAAACTTTAGTATGAAATCAATAGACTAAAAAGAAACTCAAGATTATTAAAAAATAAATTGATGAATTTGCGTATCTTTTTACTGAAAATAACAGTTGATACTCCTGCGCATTCAAGCGTATAACTGTTTGAACTGTTCGCATACGATAGAGCAATATTCAGGGTGAACTGCTTTTTTGTATTAATTGCAACATGAAACATTACAATGAACAGGAGAAGAAATGTGTCAAACTGGAGTAAAGGATAAATCGAAACAAGTTCACTTTGTACTCGTACGTTTATCAGACCGTTCCATTCTTATCTTTGGTTAGCTGAGAAGATGTCGATATATTTTTCATAATATTTATATCTCGATTTAAATAATAATTGTTGTCTGACAAGAAATGTAAGAATTTTTGACTGAAAGTAAAGGATTAATATAATAAAATTATTAATATAATAAATATTATAATATATATATATATTTGTAATATATAATAATAAATATATTAATATAATAATTATTAATATAATAAAATTACTAATATAGAAAGTAAAGGATTAATATAACCAAATCATTGAAAATCTAAATAAATGGTGAATAAAACACCACTGTTAGACAAATTATTTGTAAGTTCCAAAGTGAAAGTTTTTGACGAAGAAATGAAAAAATTGTTGAGAAATTGTCCGCGAAAATAAGAACAAATGAAAATTCTACCACTTTCCTTCGCTGCGCGTCAAATATACAAAAATTGCTTGTTATGAATGGCAAGGGCAGTAATTCCGGCAGACCGAACTCTCGCGATGATCGACAGGAGCTAATCAATGGAAAAGAGGACTACTAACATCTAGGCAGAGTGCCAGTTAGCGTCGATAAAATTCTCACGTTACGGTACAGCAAAACTACCGCAAGATCGACGCAACTTGTTTCACGAATGTGCAACAGCGGCAACGCGTACACAAAAGTTTGCGCATCTGCGTGCCGAACGGCTGTTCAACCGTGTGACGTGACTGTTCCGCGACCTTCTTTTTATTTAATGGGAACGGCAATGAGCCGCTAACATTTTCCCAGGTCCTTCGGCGAAACGCTCCCCAGTGACTACATCAAACGACTGTGAATAAGTTCTTGCCAATCATAATTATTAGACTCTGCATCTTCTGATCAAGGAAAATGTGCGCCGACCTAATTAATGTCATTTTCATTTGATTTTGCTGGAAAGAGATCCTTTTTCCTGCACAAAAATTACCGGTACGGCAAATTATAAGATTCGTGTTTATCATAAGCAATCATTTAAATAGTAAAATAAACTTCCTCATTCTGGTATTTGCAGAATAGTCCACAAAAGTGGGTATTTACATAGACACCCGTAGTCCAATCATTATACTACACATGTTTATGTTAAATAGAAATTCTGTAGAATGTATTATAAATGTATATTTATGATTTTCATTCTTGCAAGTAGAAGAGTATTTGTATTATAAAAGATTTCAGTGTATCTGCACTCACGTAAAATTTATAGAGAACTTGATTCTAACGTGAATTTTACACGTAAAATACATAAGTAGAGAAGAAAAAATAAAATGTATAAACTCTCTCTAATTAGAAGCAATTACAAGTTTTGTGAACTACTTAATTTCGTTAAACTGAAAACAATTTTATATTTTTTTACAGGGGATAATATTTTACACTCTGCTCTTAGAGATTATGAACATGTAATTTGCATCTACAAAAAGAAATGATGGTTTAAAAGTAAAATTGATTTTGCGGCGGTACACCTTTCCACGATTTTGAAAAAAAAATACTTTTGAAATCATTCGACAAAGAAGAGAAGCCCATGAAATTCTCAATAGAAAACGCTTTCTCATCGTTGTCTGTTGATTTGTATCGCAAACGCGGGTAATAAACGGGATACAAACAGGGGTTAATTGGCAGAGAATTAACCAGATAGCTAGTTTCGCGCGCGGTTAGAATGATAGAGTGATTTAAACAGCGTCGAAAATGTGATACCCCGTATATGTAGTTTGCAGAATGCGTACACCAGAAGCTAATGTGACCTAGGATTTGCACATCGCGAGCACGTGTCGGAAATACCGCAATTTGGGCGGGGCAGTTCAGTGTACAAAATAACTAGGAATGCAATGGAAACTAAGAAACTAATTCGTGCTTCCCATCGCTTATTCTGCTGTTCACTTTTTCGTCGTGTGAACGGAAGACAGCGGAAAAGAATGTCTCCGTTTGCTTTTGAATCGTAACGGAGTACAGTTATTTCAATTACATGATAACCGCAGAAATATTCGAATAAGAGAAAAAGAAACCCGAGTTCTTCGGATAATTAAAAAGATCGTAGGTAATGTTGTGTTAAAGTAAATGAATAGCGCATGTACAGAAATAGAAATATGAATTTTGTAGATGTAGCAATATGCAGGTTTTATCATTGCAATTTTATCATTGCTAAACTGGAAATTTTACGCATTTTTAACAAAATTGGATAGGTGCAATTCGAGACACTAAGAGAACTAAAAGAATTTAACGATATCGATGTATTAAATTGATTTTATTAGAATTATTAAAGAAAGAGGGAAATCAATGGTTTTTATTTTCCATAAACATCCAAAATCCAGTCATCATTTTACGAAAAAGTCAATTTTATATTAGGATTGTTATAATTCGATTCTTTGAAATAAATTAATTAATTCCCTGGACATTTTTCATTTTTTTTTTTCGAGATTAGATCGAGTTAATATTTACATACGATCAATGTAATCATTGTCTGCTTTTACTATTGATGAAAATGTTTTCCACGACTAATATATGAACATTTGTTGTAACAAATGTTTGGTCCGTTTGATGAAACATGTTTTATCGGTCGACATTTAATGTTACGACTTTTTTGTCATTACAGTTTTAAATGTTGCGGGAGGTAAAGCGCCGATGCAATCTAGCAGTTCAGAAGGTGGAATTCCGCAACGAGCAGTAGACGGTAGCAGTGGACAAATTTATACACCCCAAACTTGCACCTTAACGAGGCCGGAACTTAGGCCGTGGTGGTACGTGAATTTGCTCGAACCATACATGGTGCAGCTCGTCCGGCTAGATTTTGGAAAACCATGTTGCGGTGAGTAAAACCAAAAAATTTTTTAAGTTATCCTTTAGAATAGAAATAATAAAATCACCTGAATATTCACCATACGTTCTCCTATTCCATTAATTTTCTGTTTTTATCTAAACTGTTTTTTCATTTTCACTACAGATATTGCTTTTCGTGACATTTCAAAATATAGGTTCTAAACGCAATGCACAATTTCAGATGTAATTAATAACAGTGTAGAAGGTTCAAAATTTCGAATTGTCTTTCAATATGGTTCACGAATGTTATTAAACAACACAGGTGAGAGCTGAGAAGACTTATGAGAACCACTCGCGCTATAAAGAGACCACGATATGCTATGCGAAACGTTATTGGTACTAAATAAAATTTAATTGCTTTTTCGATTGGTTATATGGTACTAATAGCAAAGTAATGCTGCAGTAAACATGATTTTAAAGTTCATTTATGTATTTTTCAAGGATATTTGTCAGAAATCTCAAACTTGGGAAATTGAAATGTATGATGGACGAGTAGTTATTTACAAATCCGGGGTAAAAATGAAAATACGTTGTTTATGGAAATTCAAAATTACCGTAATGTAAATATGTGCTTCGTATCCAGAATTTTTTTAATACCGTGATTGCGTGATCCATAAGAAATACTTCATGATTAATGCTAACCGGAAGAACACGTTAGAATTTGCAAGGTAGCACATAAATATTGCAATGCATTACTGAAACAATATCATTTACATAAAGGAAAGTATTTGCTGCATTTGCTTCGAACAAACATTTCATAAACGGGAAAAGAATATGAAGAACAGAAAATTTGTCCAATGATGCTGACATTTAAAAATGACGGGACTTAAAAACGACTTATTCATTTATGCAATATATATGATACCTCGGAATATTTGTTACAAATTTTTAATATCGATCTTATATAACAATCACGGACTTTTCTTTAACGACGAATTCATATTACTCCGCTATCAAAAGCAAATCTGAAAGCTACTTTCATGGAAGAACGCATTGGTATCAATGAAAAAGTGCCGTCCAATCTACCATCTAATTTAGCAAGTTTTATGCCAAGACTCTTAGAAGCGATTATAAAACCAAAAGGAAAGTATGTAAATATTCAAATAACAAATGACCAGTTTCTACTACATATTCAAGTAGCAAATGGCTAGTTTCCTTTTTAACTTTCATAGGCATACGTGAACTATTTTTTGTGCCAAATTCGATAGATGCTTATTACGAGAATGTTTCGCACATTTCATACCCTCTTTTTCTAGCTGTGTAAGGATTGCATGATCATTCGTCTTAAGATTTCACTAAGTACAAACAATTTCACTAAACTTTGGATAGAGATATTCAGGAAAAAATAACTACGAACGCTTTCTATATGCAGGGTGCGCCGGAATTCGTAATACAACCGAGCAGAGGGTGATCCTGTGTGATAAAATAAGAAACAAATTTAGTGTAACATTTTTTTATCCGGGGCTCCGTTTTCGAGAAAATCGACTTTAAAGTTTGTTCATCTTTGTGAAGGATTTAGTTATCGTCTATTCTACCGCACTTGCCTCCGTCTGAGATAGTGTTTGCAAACATTAATTGCTGCGAACTATTTACTGTCCGTTGTTCAGAGAAGTCCGCTGAGAAAAGTATATTCCCACCAACCCACCCATGTAGACGTCCTCGCAGCATACGGTTAACACGTTTTCCTTATTGGCAGAAATGATCCCTTCCCTTATTGGCCAGAAATTAGCCACCATACTGAATTTCCAGAAAACGAGAGACTCGAGTTCGGCCGAATAAAAACAAATAACGCTTCCTGACATCCTTTGACGATAAATATTAATCTTCCTTTTCTTCTAAGAAATTATTACAATTGAACAAATTTTAACCATTGCAACTGTGAAGAATATGGTACCGCAATGTATTAACGATAATATTGCCTACTGAAATATACAAATAATAATCATGACAATCGCTTAGTTCGTTTAATTAACAAATAATTTTTGCCGGAGATAGTAAGCGGTCAATTTCAATAGAAAAATACCTGAAGTTGTCAACGGTGCTAAACCCTAGAAGATGTTAAAAAGCTGAAATTCGGTGTACTTTACGTCTTCCGGAAAACTGACAATTCGCAATAATACGACACTTTCTATGAGAAAAGTTGGCCGTCGCGATTAATGCCTGCGACCGAACCACTAAAAATTATGGCGTCTCTTCAGCAAGCCGTAAAATATGGCCGTAAATTCGTCCATCGCGAGCATTGTTCGGACGCGAGAAATATTTAGAAACTTTCCAGAACGAAAGTGAGAGTCTTTTCACTTTTGATCGCTGAATAATGGTGCATCGCTCTGCACTCCTGCATGTTATTATCGGCCGTTGTCATTTTCATTTTCTGCCTGGAGCTTCCACTTTACTGTTTCGTTCAAAATGAGTTCTTAAACGGCCAAGTAACGCTCCTCTATTAAACGCATTACCTAATTTGACTGACTGAAGCAATTCTGTTTTAATAACTTCCTCGATCCATTCATAACGCTGAAATTTAATTTACCAGGAAAAAATCGTAGATTTTATCGTAACGTGATCAACACATTCGATTATTAATTTTCATTCCTGTAAATCTAATTCAATCCTAACGAGTTATAATATTTCACAGTTTAAATAGTTATAATTGAGCAGACAATCTTCCTTCTCTTGAAGATTTTATAACTGCATAAAACTCGCGATTCGAAAATTGTAAACCAATTAGGTAAACCATTCGTTGGGTCCAATATTAAACTCTGCCAGCATTATACTATTAATGATCGATCTTTTCCTAAACTATAAATACACAACGGAAGTCAGAACACATTTAACAGTGGCTAGTTAGTCCTCAAAAAGTTATTCATTGCTGCAAACTCACTACCATAAATGATGCAAGAAGTCAATAGAAATTACGATAAAATTGTACGTAAAACACAGTACAATTCAAGAAACTGGCTGCAGATGTAATGCACTTATGACAAACATGAATAAATCAAATTCAAAATTATAACGCCATTGGAAAAACTTAAAAATGTAGGTATATTATTTCCGGCTCAGTAGAANATTGCTGCAAACTCACTACCATAAATGATGCAAGAAGTCAATAGAAATTACGATAAAATTGTACGTAAAACACAGTACAATTCAAGAAACTGGCTGCAGATGTAATGCACTTATGACAAACATGAATAAATCAAATTCAAAATTATAACGCCATTGGAAAAACTTAAAAATGTAGGTATATTATTTCCGGCTCAGTAGAANTATATATACTAATATTGTTATTATATATATTAGTATATATATATATATACTAATATTGTTATTATATATACTAATATTGTTATTATAATTATTAGTATATATATACTAATATTGTTATTATATATATTAGTATATATATATATATACTAATATTGTTATTATATATACTAATATTGTTATTATAATTATTAGTATATATATACTAATATTGTTATTATATATATTAGTATATATATATATATACTAATATTGTTATTATATATACTAATATTGTTATTATAATTATTAGTATATATATACTAATATTGTTATTATATATATTAGTATATATATATATATACTAATATTGTTATTATATATACTAATATTGTTATTATAATTATTAGTATATATATACTAATATTGTTATTATATATATTAGTATATATATATATATACTAATATTGTTATTATATATACTAATATTGTTATTATAATTATTAGTATATATATACTAATATTGTTATTATATATATTAGTATATATATATATATACTAATATTGTTATTATATATACTAATATTGTTATTATAATTATTAGTATATATATACTAATATTGTTATTATATATATTAGTATATATATATATATACTAATATTGTTATTATATATACTAATATTGTTATTATAATTATTAGTATATATATACTAATATTGTTATTATATATATTAGTATATATATATATATACTAATATTGTTATTATATATACTAATATTGTTATTATAATTATTAGTATATATATACTAATATTGTTATTATATATATTAGTATATATATATATATACTAATATTGTTATTATATATACTAATATTGTTATTATAATTATTAGTATATATATACTAATATTGTTATTATATATATTAGTATATATATATATATACTAATATTGTTATTATATATACTAATATTGTTATTATAATTATTAGTATATATATACTAATATTGTTATTATATATATTAGTATATATATATATATACTAATATTGTTATTATATATACTAATATTGTTATTATAATTATTAGTATATATATACTAATATTGTTATTATATATATTAGTATATATATATATATACTAATATTGTTATTATATATACTAATATTGTTATTATAATTATTAGTATATATATACTAATATTGTTATTATATATATTAGTATATATATATATATACTAATATTGTTATTATATATACTAATATTGTTATTATAATTATTAGTATATATATACTAATATTGTTATTATATATATTAGTATATATATATATATACTAATATTGTTATTATATATACTAATATTGTTATTATAATTATTAGTATATATATACTAATATTGTTATTATATATATTAGTATATATATATATATACTAATATTGTTATTATATATACTAATATTGTTATTATAATTATTAGTATATATATACTAATATTGTTATTATATATATTAGTATATATATATATATACTAATATTGTTATTATATATACTAATATTGTTATTATAATTATTAGTATATATATACTAATATTGTTATTATATATATTAGTATATATATATATATACTAATATTGTTATTATATATACTAATATTGTTATTATAATTATTAGTATATATATACTAATATTGTTATTATATATATTAGTATATATATATATATACTAATATTGTTATTATATATACTAATATTGTTATTATAATTATTAGTATATATATACTAATATTGTTATTATATATATTAGTATATATATATATATACTAATATTGTTATTATATATACTAATATTGTTATTATATATATTAGTATATATATACTAATATTGTTCGCAAACCTTCAATAAATTTGCTACAGTCTTTTCTTGGAAAGTATCAAAAATATTCATGAAATTTTTAACACGGTACAAAGAATGACTTTAAAATGTCTCCGGAGCATTTCACGGGAATACTTATCCAAGCATTTACGATCTCGGTGAGACGTGCCGTGCCGGTGGTTTCACAAGTTCCGTGATTTTGTCGCGGAATAGATTTCCACTGACAAATGGCTGATCAAACAGGGGTAAAACTTTCACCGTTAAACGAAACGTCCGATAATAATGACAGACGTTCACGTTTACACGGAAATCAAGAGTGAGAGTGCTCTGTTGTTCACGGAAAGGAAACCCATTTTCTATCCTTTCACGAAACATCGCAGAAACTCCGGCACTAACAAATATTCTTAAAACATTTGGGAATATATTTCGCAGGCCAATTTTAAATTTTAATCTCTCATTTCTTTGTTCGTTTACAATCATATTCAACATCATTTTTAAATTAAAGTTATCACATTTATCGATATTTCAGAATTTTACTAGATTTTAATTTTTCCTGATTTTGAATTCTCTCCAATTTTTGTTTTATCAATTAATACATATTTCGAGCGAAGTTGAATAGTTACGAAGTTAATAAATGCTATGGCGTTTGTGAGACTGAAATTACAGAATTTCGGCTTATAATTGCAGAATAAACTGATTTTCAAGCATTTAAACTCATCCAGAAATGTTCCGCTCAACGAACGAGAAGATTCGATGCAATTATCACGGTTCAACGTTACTTTCATTAAGTTTTCCTAATGCGTCTGAACGTAGAATGTACTCCTTATTCATCTCAGGACAAAAACGATTCTACTCTGAATAATACAGCTTTCTTCTGCAAGGATTCAGGTAGCATCCACAAAGAGGATCGCCACGATCGCGATCGCGATCGCGTTTTGCGAACTGACTCACGCATAATGATAGCTGTCGTGATCAGATTGGTTAAACATTTGGAAGCGTTTCTGCCTCGGCAGGGAAGAACAAGGTGCAACTTTCACGATGCATCTTAGTGGTGCGAGCGCATTGCACGAGCACTTTTAATTGCAAAGGAGTTCGGTTATCGTATTGCTACCGTCTTTCTAGCAGGATAACAGAAAAAAAACTCGATGATGCTAGCGTGCTCATGACTCGTGGATCATCTACACTTCAGCAGTGAACGGATTCTTAATAACAGTAACAATAGCATTGTTAGATGTGCTAAGTGTACTTTCAGTATAACATGAAACTCAATGCATGTCACTACATATATTCAACTTTCCTTTCATCGAGAATTGGTTTCATTATTATTGAAAAATTCATCTTTATCAGTCAGTTTAAAAAGAAACTTTTATTAACCAGTTTATAGGTTTCTTCTGGTTACTCATTGTTATGCGGATTTGTAGCAGATCATGATCGAATTTTTAAGATTAGATTTAGTTATTTATAGTTTTATAATCTAAGAATAAGAGAGTTTTAGTTTTATTTTTACTTTTACTTTTATACTGAGTCAACTTTTATTGGAGGATATCGAGATCCCCATCAATACTCGGAAAACTTTTAAAACGCAAAAACTTTTTTAGGACTGAACTAAACGACTTGAATTTGAATTTTTTTTCGATAAAGGGACCAATTTGCTAGACCATAACTAGAATGACAAAAGAAGATAAAAGCCTCATTTTTTAATTGATTTATCTGAGCCTATAACGAAACTTTAAAAAATGCGTTTTGTAGATCTCGGTAACTTACATACATATGTGCGCGTTGAAAATGCCATCGAAATTGGTTGACCTTGGTATGAGCTGTAAACAATTGAAGATCGCAAAAATCGCAGTTTTATCCCGATTTTCGACATTTCCTACCAATAAGTGTGAGAAATCTGCAGTTTTTAAAATCTTTTAACTCTTGTAACTTAATTTTGCGTTAACCGAGATCTACGAAACGCATTTTCTAAATTTGCGTTCTAGGCTCAGATAAAAAAAGTTAAAAAACGAGTTAAAAAAAGTTTTTTTATTTTATTCTTTTCGTTCCAAATAATAGCAAAATTGAAACAAAGTAGTTTAGTCATTGCCTAGTATACTAGTCTCCCTTTTATCTAAAAAGATTCAAATCGTTTCGTCCAGTTTTAAAAAAGTTATTGCGTTTTCGTGAGTATACACATACCTTATCGTTATACTTTAGATATTATCTTACCTGTGTATTATCAAACTAACAGTAAGCATTATAGTCTGTAGGGAATATTGAATTACTTGAATTCAATTTAACATTCACACATAGTTATGAACTCTTTACTGTCACTTAAGTTGTACGCATCCAATTGATTCGTCTCGTATAGTAAATAATACATAATAATAATGGAAATACCGAACAATTTCGCTGAATAGAAAATTGTGACCATCGCGTAGGCGATTACAAGGAACGAAAGGTGGAAAGCATGTAATTGGAGTTGATGGTCGTGGACGAAACGACGGCTGTCCATCTGGTCACGCCTTAAGTGTTTTCCAGGTCGAAAGATGTAGTATACTCGCCGAGCTCCGGATTATTTTAGACGAGTTTATATGTATATTCGCGTTCGAATCCCAGGTTTCTCGATCACCGTTTACACCGAACACGGCAATCGTATTTGTTCGTGACAAACGCGTTTTATTCATTTATTGTCGCAAGCCGTATATAACTCGTACAGCGCGCGCTTTCCAAAACTTTCTTAAATTTTTATTTGATTTTACCTCCATTCACATTATTGAATGGCAATATACAAAACAAGAAATCACTGTCTCTATTGCACACTCTCACTATACTGAGATATGAAAGCCGTTTTCATTTGCATAAATAGTATCGTTCAGTTTATTGTATCCCGTGAATCCAAATATTCTACGAGATTGTCTTAAATCGTGGTGCAATCAAATTATCGAGTCGTTGAAAGTTATTAGTAGCAGAATGTCGTGTATACGATCAGATAGCGATTCGTGACTGTAAAAAGCATGCGTAAAGTGTATTCATAAATTTTGAGACGTGGCGGAACGGAATTGCTAGATCATTAACAATTGAAACAAGTTCCTGAATTTCTAGGAAGTGCTCCACAGAGAGCCATTTCAGTCTTAATTAATGTTACTGTTCCTTATTTAGGAATCCTACGTCTGCTCTTTTAGTATAACAGTCATGTGCTGAACATTCTCAGGTACATACAAAGACACTCTTCTTTAATGCAATGATTGCCATCACCCTGAAAACTTTTATAAAACTGAAACAAAAGATCCCGCATACCATAATGAAATTCGGTTTACACAACTATGCCACGATAAAAATTCATTTTTAGATCTGGACAAAGATTTGTAGGTCTCACTTATAGGTAACACAGAGGTCATCGTGTTGATAAACCTATTTTTATTATTATTATTATTATTATTATTATTATTATTATTATTATTATTATTATTATTATTATTATGGGAACATGTTTCTATTTTAATAAGTTTTCTATTTTATGCACTTTTCTCTGTTGCAGGCGATGGGGTACCCGGAACAATTGTCGTTCGTGTCGGTAATAACCGTCCAGACTTGGGAACCAATCCAATTTGCAATCGCTTCACCGGGTCCCAAGGAGAAGGACAACCATTATTTCTGCCTTGTAATCCACCGATGCCCGGAGCTTTCGTGTCCGTACACCTGGAGGCAAACACGCCGACACCTACACCGGTGCAGCTTTCTCTCTGCGAGGTTTTCGTTTATACCGATCAGGTAAAGTCCTAAAATGTAAAGCAACCATCTTAATACTGTGCCGTCCGGTGAGACCGCGCTGGTGCCATGCAAAAACTATCTGTTGTATGCCGGTGGTACCACTTTGGTGCCATTTTAAAAAACTGAAATAACATTTGAACTATATTTCTTAGGTGTTAAAAGGCAGCAAACTAACTATAGCATTGCGCTTATTTAACTAAGAATTAAGTACGAAAATTCTTGGATGACTTATCTTAATTTTAGGAGTTCATATTACCGCCATCTTCGAAATTTTGTTTTAAATCTAAAATTTCCAAGCTATTATGCCGGCGTCAAACGAAAGAATCATATCTAAGATCTGCGGACGGCATAGTGTTAATCATTCCGATTCTTCCGGAATTGTTGTTCTTACTAGTTAGCACTTCAAAAAGACATTCAAAACAATCCCTTTCTAATGATCTGACGAAAAGTAATCATTTCGATCCTTTTCAAATTGTTGTTTCTACCACGAAGACATTCAGGATTATTTTCTAGTAATTAACCCTTTGCACTCGAAGTTTTTTTTGAGTCATATTACCAGCAACTCGAAGCCATTTTAGTGAAAAGATCATATTCACATGTAAGTTCATGATATAAGCATTAAAAGAAAAGTCATCGTTGTATGTTATTATTTTTTTAATTGTTTATGGATACAAACGTCATTTGTCACCAACAGCGAAACATCCTATAACTAATTTTTACGATTTGTTTTTGTTCTTATGTTAAAAACTGAAAATTATTTGCATTGTCTCCGTAGCGGAGCCCTCGAGTTTGAAGACAAATTTTAAATGGCTCCGCTCCGGAGCCCTCGAGTGCAAAGGGTTAAATAATGAAGGTCTTTTCTTTTCGCATGCTATAAAAACTAGTATCGTCACTCTTTGGTTGCAGGCTCTCCCCATAGAGAGGTGTCCACAATTTAGGGACCAGCCACCGGGCTCAACGGCAACATACAACGGAAAATGTTACATTTTCTATAATCGTCAGCCAATGGTGTTTAGAGAAGCATTGGCGTTTTGTCGTGCACGGGGCGGTACCTTGGTGGACGAAAGTAATCCTGCGCTGCAGGGATTTATCTCCTGGGAACTGTGGAGACGCCATAGGTAACACATTTATTATCGACGTGTTACCAGCGTAAATCGATACAAGTTTGTTTTTGTGCAACATGATTTAATGTAACAAATTGATTGGAATCTGCAAATCTCAAGCAACTCAATTTCACTTTTCAAAATTTCTGAACTCGATCAACTTTTGTAGCCCGAATATCTTCCAACGCGGAGGTTTCAATTCTGTTATCGAGTCTACTTCGTCTACATAAATATGTTTACGTCAGTGGTTTTCGCAGTTTTATATTTGCCATTCGAATATGCATAACATTCTCAAATGATATGTTTACATTGTGCGCCGGAAGAACTAAACGCTACATGATTTCTCTTCGCTGTTGCACAAGTCTTTGCTTACAAGCACGTTTCGTTTTCGAAGGAGCGACACATCGAGTCAGTACTGGATGGGCGCGGTAAGGGATCAGAAAGATCGATCGGTTTGGAGATGGACGGAAAGCGGAGATGAGGTTTCAGTTTCATTCTGGAGCTTACCTCAAGGCACGGAAGAGGATTGCGCTCGATACGACGGCAGCAGAGGCTGGCTATGGTCTGATACACCTTGTACGGCTCGATTAAATTTCATCTGTCAGCATCGTGAGTATCGACTTTCGAATCACACTTTTCTAATACATCTTTCTCTTCCGTTGCTACTGGATCGTATGGGAACACTGTTACACTTAATCCATTTACAATAAAATTTCTCATTCCATGCACACGTCAGATTTAAATGCGCTCATTCCACCGTTTACTTAGCTATTGGTATAGTAAAACTGTTAATAGAGATTTTTACATAGCTTGTTTTTATTGCTTACCATTAGCTTCAATATATTTTATTAATAATCAATAAATTGCATTTTTGTCATTTTCATAATACATTTTGCAACAATCAAAAATATGCAATTCTTCCCTCCGTTCCTCCCTCCAATCTTTTATTTATACATATAATGCCGGTCAAAATGACCGATTTCAGATATTACATTTTAAAAGTGTTGAAACGGTGAAGATTCTTTCATAGAAAACGCTTAAATAAATTTCGTAACTCGAGCATACATTATAATAAAAATCAGGAATGATCCAAATACATTCAGCCTTGTCATTCTTATAAAGCAACACGAGTTTTTCCAATTTTCATGCTCGGTATGCTTAGTGTTAACCCAATGTGCACAATGATACTTTTCATAGACACATCGAATAGTACTTATTCGCCCTTAATAATTGCTCAAATAGTATGAGACAATTTTTGTTTCTTGTACGCCTTCGCTTGTTTTCATTCCAAAATTTTGATCACAGAAAAATCAGTGTTTCGATTTAGAAGAAAGAAATAATATTCATATTTAGTAGGTTGCATATGAAATCTTCATCTGAAATCTGATTCGTTGTTGTAGTTCAAAGGGCTGACGAAACTTTATTGTTTTTTAGCAGTAATCGAAACCTATGAAACAAAACTTGGTTGTTAAAATTGACTTGAATTCTTAAGCATGTATTGAACTTGGTCCCATCCTTATTAGAAAATGAGTAGTAGCCAATGCCGTTACCCCTTAGACCCTAAATTTTAGGGAACCGGTACAATAGTACGATGACTTACAGAACCACGTGCGTGCGGTCGCCCAGAACAACCGCCGAATTCGACAATGAGCGTGATCACAGCGACGGATCGAAATTCAGCGAGCGTTTACGAAGTTGGAGCAACGGTAGAGTACACCTGTAACGCGGGCAGCCTTCTTATAGGACCGTCGACCCGTACCTGCCTGGACACCGGCTTCTACAACGAGTTCCCGCCGGTGTGCAAAAGTAAGAAACCCGCAATGTCAGGCAGAAGTCCCGTGACTTCGTGAACCATATACAGTTCGCTTGATCTCAAGTTCGAACTTGCTCGTTTCAGGCATCGAATGTGGCTATCCGGCGAGCATAAAACACGGTGGCTACACACTTATCAACAATACCGTTACTTATCTAAGCCAGGTGCTTTATTCCTGCGAGGAAGGATACGAGATGACTGGTAAGAATCGGTTCTGGTTCATCGATATCCGACATCTGTGACTCGATCTTGAATTAAATATCTTTTCTTCGGGGAAAACGAGGAAAATAAATTCATATTTCTGCCGTTTCATGTTCTTATTCCGCTGTATTATTTCTCGACCGGGCAAATTTTTCGATGGCTAGCACACTGCCGAACGAGCCAGTGCTCATGAAAGTATAGTAAAGTTGATGCCATTTAATCAATGAGACAGAAACTGTCGAGTCACGATTTGTAATAGCGATCATGCTTAATCTTTCTTGCCGTCCTCGATGTATTGCCGCAAATATCAGTATCTAAATCTGTACAGAGAATTATTGCATGACTGCGTTAGTGACCTGATAGACAGATTGTATTTTTCTTTAGCTGTTTTGATACTCATTGTTATATGTGCCCATAATTATGAAAGTGGTCTAAGTCATATATTTCTTGTTTCGAGATATTTAATGAATCGCATTTGAATAAATTAAAAAATATTTTTACATTATGCGACATTTTAATTTATAATTTTATTAGTCTTGATTAATGGAAATTTATTATAGATATGAAATTTTGTGTGAATTTCATAGGAAAATGTTGTTTTTAAAGCTTGAATTGACTTAGACCATTTTCAAAATTAACTGAATGTCCTATAATTGACTTAAAGTAATAAAAAATTGTGATTTTTATTTGAACCGTTTGTTCTGAAAGTGGTGTGAGTCCAATGTCATCGAAAGAAATTGTAAGTGGCATTGCATAGGGTATTTAGACAATACAAGCTCAGATTCGGCATTTTGAATTTCTTTAAAAAAAAGAACTTATACCACTTTTAAAATAAACGGTCCATTTGAAACAACAACTTTAACGAAATAATTCATAAACATTTATTAATCATTTTTAAAAAGTAATCCATTTTTATCATAATTTCGAGTTTTTAAGATTTTTAAAATGTTCCTGAAAAACTGGAGGGATGTATGATAGCAAACACATAAGATCTTTATGTTTTTCTTCCGTTACTGGTCTAGTGGTGTTGTATAATGGAAGTAATTGAATATTTTCGTATATTTTTGGTCTTCCTCTTTTAGGTGAAAGATCCAAACCTTGGAATTCAGAATCATCTAAAGAAGTCTTATAAAACATTTTATAAGGTTCATTTTTCAAGAATCTCATCCATTGAATTTTTAGCCAAGAGACAGATTCGCCTGCGGTAGAGGGCCACGCGGTATTTTCAAGTTATGTTTATATAATTTCTTTAAATTGTTGACTTAGACCATTTTCATAATTAACACTAAATAAATTCCGTATAACGTTGTAATTACAACTACTATCTAAAGGTTCATTTTTGACGATATCGTAAAAATTACATTGAATAAATTTAGTTTAAAATCATGTCGTGTGAAATAAGTGATAAATTCATTTTTTTTTAATTTTGACTTAGACCACTTTCATAATTATGGGCACATATAATGTTTTGGTTTTGCGAGAGTAGTTAGTAATGTTTATGCTCCTTTCACAAGTTTTCTTTACTGTTTATTATGGGGTCAAACATTTTTTCCATCGTTTAAATTGCTGACCATATTCAGATCGTAACAGTGGCCTATATCTTACATGCTTTCGATTTTTAAAGGAACCAATTTGAAATAGTAGGTAAGGAGATCTACAATTTTTTATAAGAATTGCAGCGTAGTATTTCTACTATCCACACATGTAGATTGAATTGATGCTTCCAGATTATTATCAAAATTCACATTTCATACAAGAAGTGATCAATATTTTCTATTGAAGGCCGAGCAAGACTGACTTGCGACATCGATGAACGTTGGAACGGACCACCGCCTCGTTGCGAGCCGATTCTCTGCGATCCTCCAACACCTGTTCCCCACAGTTACATTCAAATAGATGAAATAGACGAGACTGAGACGATATCAGGAAAGGCGGGTTTGAATCGAAGTTTACTCGTAGGCAGCATCGTCACATACACTTGTGAAAAAGGTTACAGGCTCACTGGATTTAGGCAGATACTGTGTCTGCCTACTGGATTATACGATCATGTCGCACCAACGTGTACAGGTACACCAATTACTTCTATGTAAAGTCTCAGCTCTTACATCACTTTACACGCTGCCTCCATTGCGCAGAGTATCTTTCGGAATTACATTAATTCATTCTTTTCTTTTCGATTTATCTTGACACTTCGCATTAAATCAATCTTGTGCAGCCGAGTGACTCTGAAAATTGTTATATCGGGTACCAAAACAATGTTTACATTATCAAAAGCGTTTCGGTCGTAACACTCAACTTCATATGCATAAAATGCAGTAATAAAGTGGAGATACTGTCTGTCAGAAGAACTATTTTAGATTTAGAGTTAAAGAGATTAACCTTTTAGGTACGGCTGAATTCTGCGCGAGGCTATTTCTCTGGACGGCAGAGTCTGATGTGTACTGTACAGAGTCTGATACTTGTATATACAGGGTGTCCCAAAAATGTCTCGCAATCCGAAAGTGGCGGGTTCCTCAGGCCATTTGAAGCAACTTTTTCCTTTACAAAAATTTTCTTCGAGGCACCGTTAACGAGTTATTAACGAAAAACAGTGACCAATGAGAGGCGAGATCAGCTGCCGCGAGGTGACCGAGCCAACGGCGCCAGCGGTCGAGCGGTCGAATCCCAGCTTAGCTGGCGTGAGTCGGCCGAGCCAACGGCGCCAGCGGTCGAGGCGATCGAATCCCAGCTTAGCTGGAGTGAGTCGGCCGAGCCAACGGCACCAGCGGTCGAGCGGTCGAATCCCAGCTCAGCTGGCGCGAGGCGACCGAGCCAATTATTGGTCACTGTTTTTCGTTAATAACTCGTTAACGGTGTCTCGGAGGAAATTTTTGTAAAGGAAAAAGTTGCTTCAAATGATCCGAGGAACCCGCCATTTCCGGATTGCGAGACATTTTTGTGACACCCTGTAGATTGTTGTAAATTGATGTGAAGACAAAAGAAGTGTGAAACAATGCATATGAAGACGATTATTTGCTATTAGAGCAAGCCACTATAGTGGCGCGTCGTCCAGAGAGATGACATCCGCGAAAGCCACTAACTATAGTGGCGTGTCGTTCTAAAAGATGATATCCGCGGAAGCCACTATAGTGGCGCGTCGTGCCTAAAAGGTTAATATCTCTTTTCTTCCAAAATTCTCAAAAACTAGGGGTGATAAGGGAAAACTTTGAAACTATATATAAAAATTACTGTCATTGCAAAAAATTAAGATCTAGCTGCAAACTGTTCAGCTACCTGATCCAAATGTTACAGAGGAACCGCGAACAACGGTAACAGTTCCTCCAAGGATAACAGTGCGACCAACAACAGCAAGGACACGACACACATTCCTGCCGCCAAAGGTGCGTTCTACCACTACCAAGAGCACAACCACTGTCGCTCCACCTCGAAAGATAGCCAGTACAGGCGAATTGCCAGCGACGGTCAGAGAGACGGTCCCGAGAAAACCGAGTGTAGGTCTGCAGAGGCCAACAGCCCCGCCTCCAGCTATCCTGAACGGCGACAGCAGTGATCATCCGCAGGACAATGAGATTTCCGGCAGCGGTGTGGATAATGCACAAATCGGTATCGGATCCGGCGTGCCGGAACCATCCGGACCGTACAGAATAAACAACACGGATCAACCAAACAACACCCATCAGGCGAAGCTAAACCTGGGTGCTGTGATTGCTCTAGGTGTTTTCGGTGGCTTCGTGTTCCTCGCCGCAGTGATTACCACAGTTGTGATACTCATACGCAGGTAAATCTGTGTGCAGATCATTCAAACGAACCGAAGGTTTTCGTTATTTGCCTATTTCTTGCAAGGGAAGTACACGATTTCGATAAGTTACAAGCGGACCGATGTGTATGAACGAAGTTTCAAGCATTTGTTACTGATATTTTATCACTGCGCGCTACGTATTTATACAGTTTTTTTCTTTTTAGAGTTGGTCCCTATTTTGTTCGTTAGTTTGATTATTTTAGTTTTTTTTATAATGGTTAATGTAGTATTTCAATAGTAAAGACTATTATTTCATTTACTTATTGTTTGCAATAGTATTTGCTACATGCAAATAATTGTATTCCAAGTTACATAATTATTCCAAGACGCGCCAACTTTTCTGCTTAATAGTGAAAGAAGGATAGAATCTGTCCATCAACATTTGATGAATGTTCAAGATGTCAGCAATTATTTATTGAAGTTTCGTTTATTGCTCTCGTTAGTGTACCTCCCTTGTTCGATTCTGTGATCATATTGCTGAGGTTGATCCAAAAGTAACGCCTGTTATTGCACATTGCCAAAGAAATATTCTGCATGATAATATTTTAGGTTAGATCCTGCTCAAGATCATTAGAGATCAGAATTTTTAAGATAGCTTTACTTGAACCTGCGTTTTAGAAATAATAATTACAGATTGAACGAAAAGTAGAAACAAAATTATTGTAATGTTGTAGGTATTTTAAATATTAAATTGTAGTATAATTCGTGAAATGTAATATGTGATTACGTCTTTTTACATAATTTTCTGTAACATTTCGATTGTTGTTGCACATTCCAGAAGTGCGTCAAAAAAGAATGATTCTAAATTAAAATTTTCAACATTTATTAAACTTATTATTTGATTATTTTGTTTTATAAATGCTGTGTAAAATACTCAAAGTCAACTTTCATGTACAATTGTTATAGTTATTTATAGAAAATGATATTCTAATTGTTTAGAGCAGACTGGTTTTCTATATTTATCACCATCGTCTATCACTAAACATAATGTACTATTTCGAACGTAATGTAGGTGGAGGTTGCATTATATCCATCTAAAATTTTAGAGCATTGCAAAATATTTCGCATATTATCAGTTTTCGGTTTACCATTTTGTATTCTCTTTAAAGACTACAGTATCATGAATCATCCTAACAGGCATTATTTCTTGGACAAATTATACATAACTAGCTTTTATCTAAATATTCAGAATATACTTTATTTTCGATTCTACGTGTGTATACTGTATCGCTTGCTCTACATTTGTTTAAACTGTTTTCTACACCTTTGTCTGCCTTCTTACTATTTTCATGTCACCTGCTCATGAAATATTGTAATTGATACATCTTGAGTGTTGTAAGTAATGTAACAAAGTTAGCGGGATTAATTCTTCCAGAGATGAAACGTGTACAAAATTGATAATTTCGTCATAGGATTCTATTCCTCGACGCCTAACTAATAATTAGTATCACAAGATTAATTTCGGTGTGCACAGTAAAACTTTGTCTTACTTTAAGGGGTAGGATGTCTGAAATGAATTTCAAATGTTAAATAAGAAACAAATAATAATTTGTTCAATGACGATTGCTATTCCTTAATGTACATTTATATGTGCTAAGAAAGTAATTAGAAAAGTAATAGCCACAAAATTATGATACGTATAGGTATCGCTTAACTCTTTCATTGCTGCTTCCATGGAATTACAAATTAGATCGCTCCTCTGTGAATATTCCAGTTTACATAAATGTAGGATATAACATATCTTAAGTAAGTACAAATTTTACATAACCAAGACCAAATAAATTTGAATTTTTTACAAGAATATCAAGAATTTACCATTTTAGTAATGTTCTTGTGCAATAATATTTTCCATTTTCAATAAAGCTTTAAAGTACTATTTTAACAATTATAATTTCGAAATTTGTAGAGTATTTTTTGACAGCAATGGAACTATGATTTTAAATAATTGATATAGATAAACATAATCGAATAATTATTAGGATAAAAATTTAACAGTCATACGCTCTTCAAAAGATCGTAGGATGCTTCATCCATTTTTGCACTTTAGAACAGCAAACTGTGATTCTTTTGAACTTTTCAATTCAACCATTTATCGTACAAAGTGTCTCCCCTCTCCCAGTTAAGAAATGTAACTGTTCTTACATACAATGTACACTATTGACGAATATAACGTAAATCAGTAAAACAAATCACTATATTGTAAGAGTCTACTTCAACGTAAGACTAGAGAGAGAATTAAAATTCACCTTATAACACCAACAAGAAGAACTCACAATTAGACATGTTGCACCATGTAAAAAAGAAAAGAAAATGGCTGAATTTTCATCCTGAGGAACATATGAGGTACATATACATTGGAATTGAGATACCTTGCAGAGTCGAGATCAAGTTGTTGATTTAGTCAAGCAATGAAGGGGTTAAGCATGAGAATGAGTAAGTGAAGAAGGAGAGCGAAGGAGTCAAAAGAAAAGAAAATGGAAGGAAAGAAGGGAAGGGAAGTTGAATGATGAAGGATAACTATTAACACTGAGCCCGTTTGCGTTGCGATGGCTAGCGGCAGTGGCAGCGTCAGAGGAAGGCGCCGCAGGGGGCTTGGTGGGGTTGGTGCGTTGAGGGGTGGCGGTAGTGGTGGCCTTGGAAGAGGTGAAACTGGAATGCCCTCGCGTTGGTATACGCTACTGGCGCTGCCCTTCCCCGACCAGCACCTGGGGCGCCGCGATTTGACAGCCCGCCGCGGCACCGATAATCCTTATTCCTTCGGTCTCTCGGCGGCCCATCGCGCTGGATACTTCTCCAATCCATCCCTCTAGTTCTTAATTACCTTAGCCCTCTCTCTCTATATATATATATATACATATACAGCCAACCACCATCGCCCTCCACCCTCCACGCAACCACCGCCCACCACTACATCAACAATCACCACGTACCACTACAACCGCCCATGCGCCACCCACTAGTCAAGGTAAACGAGCAAGGTTTAATAATGAGCACTGATAGCGATAGCTCGTTCACCACCTCACTCGATAGAGGCTTCTTGAACGCACCGGAATCATGCACTTCACCTCGAAGTTCCCACCAAAGCTTCTACGGTAAACGAGAGAGTTCCCTGGTAAACACTGATGATTTTAAACTTTCAATGACAGCAATGCTGAGAATTCTCGAGTCTTACACTAATTGTCACTAGCGGTTTATTGTTTTGTAATACTTGTTACAGTCAGGAAAGTGTTTGATCCTTTTCATCTATGATTGGAATCTTGTTGCCCTGGTCGTTTGCGTTAGAGTCTAGGCCAACCACCAAACATTTAATATGATTCTAGACATTCCTTGTGAACTTTGAAGAAATTATTTGAATTTCCTGAACATGGAAGTTCATAGTAATAAAACAAATTTTATTAACAATAGGAATCATTTGCCACAAAAGAATTTTAAGTAGATATACTCAAGTAAAATATCCAAGAAAATGGAGATTCTACTTATAAATGAAAACTCACTTCCTGTTACTATTACTACAAATTAATACATCCTGTATGTAGTAGACATAAATGAAGAGTAGAATTGGTTGTACATATTTGAATAATTACACTCACAGTACCTACATAACTATCCCTATCTTCCATACTAATAGAAACATTCTTTTTCACAATCTACCAATGAAGAACGCTACAATATTAATAGGTGTCTACACAACTATTCCAGATCAATACTTAAAATTTCCTTTCAAATTATAAAGATAATGATTATGTAGAATAATGGCTGTATCTTAAGTAATTTTAGTAAATATAGATTTACTTATA